AGGCCACGGTAAAATTATCAAAGGCTGACTGGTCCGCAGCGATAAAAAGGTTGGGGACCACTGTTCTAGACCAACCTCCTGCTGAAGCAGGAGACCATGTACCATTTCATACAGGTCGCTTCTTAAAAACCTCCAATGATGAAGTACTGGTTAATTGTCCTCACTGTTAGGAAGTTTCTCTTTAATTCCAGTCTGCTTCGTTCCTTGATTAGTTTCCATCCATTGTTTCTTGTCCTGCCCCCTGGTGCTTTGGAAAATAAGTTGACCCCACCTTCCTCTTTGTGGCAGCCTCTCAAATACTGGACTGAGGATTTTCATTAAGGGAACTACTGCATGCCAAGAGGGTGAATGTTTACAGCCTCCTCAGCATGAAGTTGACAACACTTATTTTTTCATTTGCAATAATTTTAGGGTGAGGCTGGAGAGTGAGAATTCAGACTGATGCCAATGGGGGCTCTTCTTCTCTGGAGCTCACTCTAGAGTAGCATGTGTATGTGATCATCAGGATTTCATCTGGAAAGAAACTGATTCACAATCTGAATGAAAACAACTCCCCTGGTTATTGCGTAAAAAAGGAAAAAAGAAATCTAGGCACACTTATTGGCTATGTCTGTTTAAAGTCATGCTTCTGTCTGGAGTTCTGCATAAAATAGAAAAATATGTTTTGTTTTAGCTCTCAAACCCAAACATCCCATCTGGAGTGTTCCACGGAAACATTTTCAGTTTGTTGCACTTTGACAAAACCTAAACTAGTTTAGCATTCCATATTCCAGTGAAGCAAATATTGGAACACTTCAAGGTACCTGAGCCAAAGGAACAATGGGAATAGAGAAAAAGATTTTTATTCCTTTCTTTTCACCACAGGATCACAAGAACAGAAATGGTAGCAGTTCACACTGAGTGCTACCATTGAATCCGTTTGCAGAAGAATTGGCAGGAAGAAAAAAGGGAGAAAATGATAATTCCTATCACAGAATCTTTGGTTGGTGATCCTTCTTATCTTGCTTCTTTGGCTTCAGAAAATTCTTCCTTTAACCAGGATTATGCTAACTGAAAAATTATTAGGAGATACTAGTAGGTTGGCTGCCTTAAAAAAACTCATGAAGACTTACTTTTATTAGAAGGTCTTGTAGTATCAATTTCTAAAACAATTATCTTACTTAGAACAGGAGAAGATTGTGCAAGAAAATAATGGGATTTTAATGGGAAAATAATGGGATTTTCTTTCAGAAATGTTTTAATGTAATGTCTTTTTAATCTAAGTTAAACTTGAGTGCCCAACAAAGTGTAACAGTAGTGATGCATTGTGTTTTATATGAAGATTATTATATGAACTATCCTTTTTCAAGTTGATTAAAAATGGTCAGCAATATGGATTATTCTAAATCTAAAATTCCTATTTAATCAATATTTGATCGTGGAAAGTAGCATTCTTTTTTCAATCCTTGGTAACCATCTTTTCAGCAAAAATTAGATGCCTATCTTAATACATTGGTCAGGACCTCACTGAATTCCACTATGAAATGGACCTCATTTTGACCATGAATATCTTAAGGACTATTGAAAGAATCCTGCTTCCTCTCTCATAGAATAATCTTAGGAAAGCAGTTTTAGTTCTTGGGTCAAGCAAGTTTGCTTGTGAGTCAGCCACTTTTTCCCCTGAGGTATGAAAGGTCTTACTTGGATACTTAAAAATCACTTAACCATCAATTGTCATGTGTATCTTTTAGTCCTTTAGTAAAGACCATAATCTTGGTTGCAAGATAAGATTACAAACTAAATTCATTATTTATGAGTGGTGGCCCAGTGGTTAGAATGCAGTATTGCATACTAATTCTAATTCAACTGAACCTTTGATTAAAGAGGAAGTTAATTTTATAATATTTGATATATGATGAAGTTGTCTCTATGATGGTTAGATTAGTTCTTAATTCTTTAACATCATCTAGACCTTAGTCAGGAAGTTTATGCTCAACACCTAAAAAGCCAGAAGTAGAGATGCATCACTTTGGTTAGGTACTTGATTGTATATGAACTTGAGTTACAAATCCATTCAAGTTATGTTTCAGTATTCCTGCTATCTGCTTGGTTGAAATCATAGTATTGTATACACAGCTTCACTTGTGCAATATTATATCCCTTCTTAAGGTCTGAGAAGTGACTTATCTTCTTTATTAATGTTACTTCTCCATGATCCACACAGCACCACAGAAAGCAATGGAGCTGTCTGTCATTATTCATCAGCTCTGTGACATGGCTTAGTTATCTTCAGGAACAGGTTTGTATGGTTTGGACTTTGATGAAATATAATGAAACCAACTTGGGTCAATAGACATAGCCACAGATCTCTAAACACAACAATATTTGAAGGCTAGCCAGATCAGGTTCATTCTATACAGTGTCCAGGGATTTAATTGCTGTTGAAAACTCAGTAGGATCCTGTTCTATTAAAAAGCATCAGAAAACTATTTTACTGATTTTAAGTCCTGGTGGTACTAGGCAATCTAAAACAATGTTCAGGGAATGAATTATGCATGAGCTACTTGGATTGATAGACTTTATGTCTGTATTGTTGAATAATTTCTAGGTTTGAAGTGAGGCTTTTATACTCTTTGAAGACTTCTTGCTGTCTGCCAAGTTTCTTCAAAATATTTAGGCTCCTCTAAGAATAGAAAACATAGTATGTTGTTTTTATTAATGGCTCAGTGATGGCCACTTTGATGTTCCATCCTAAAGACAATTTTACTTGCTTCTTCTTAGTCTTCTCTTTTGTTTTATTGGAATTGGAATGCAGTGGCTTCTTCTGGTACATTATTTTGGCCACTGTCAAGTTTTCAACATCCATTGAACTCAAATCACCACAACAGGAAAAATGGCAAAACCTCAAATAAATCAAAGTAAATAATTAAGCTTTGTTTAACGCTGGAAAGAACAGAGCTTAGAAGAATCATAACCAAGACATTTTCTCATCATGAGTTTAGACCAGTGATGGTGAACCTTTTCAGCACTGAGTGCCGAAAAGGGAGAGCTCATCTGGGTCACAACCCGGAAGAGGAGCTGATCAAGAGACATGCATGTGTTGGAAAATGTACTTCTGGTTTCCAGTGCACCAGAAGGTCTTCTGGTTACTGGTATGCATGCACGCACAATGATCAGCTGACCTGCGCGCATGCTCACACTGAAAAACAGAAGACAGCTCTTCCCATTTCCAGCACTGCTGCACGCATGAAGGCCAACTGATCATCGTGTGCGCATGCATGCTAGAAGCCCAGAAGAGAAACAGGCGATGCTGCAAGTGTCAGGTGACATGATTCCATGTGCCACTTCGGGCACATGTACCATAGGTTCGCCATTATGGGTTTAGAAGTTCTTTCCTTACTCTACAAAGCCCTTTTTCTTAAAAAAAGGTTTGTGTTAAAAAGGAGGAAGAACTCCAGCAAACAGAATGAATTAAAATATAATATTTTCAGCAAAATATATCATTTGCTATATCAACAAGTGTGTATGCAGCATACATGCACACCTAAGTTAAGAAAGTCAACCAGAATATAGTGGTTTGCATTTTATAATACTCTCCAAGGTGTTCACAAACAAAATAAAATAAGAGAATGCAGACTCCAAAATATTCAGTGTATGACAAAACCAACATATGAACATAAAAACTTTGTGGAAAGCTTAGTTATGTTTATGTACTCTGTGTATGTTGTTCATACACACCAACAAACCTCAACATAAGGTAATACTGGACTAAGCAACAATGACAGGAGGAATAAAAAAGGCAAGTTTTTCTATGTCAATGCATGTAGTCTTTTACCCCTTGCCATAAAAAGTGCTGAATATGATTGAATATTTTGCTTTTATATCCCACCGATAATTCTTTTGAAGGCCACACAAACTTAAACTTACCCACACAATGTTCACCTGGTCCACAGTAATCTCTACCAAAAAAAACCAACACCAAATAGAAGTGAATTTTGTTAAGCAATGATTTACTGAAATAAAAAAATAAAAATGGCATAGATAGTGGTGGATTGGTCAAACATAGAGGGACTCTCTCATTACAGGTAGTCCTTGACTTATGACTACAACTGAGTCCAAAATTTATGTTGTGAGTGAGACATTTGTTAAGTGAGTTTTGCCATCATTAATATAAACCAGTTGCAAAGCCTCAAAATTTTGATCATGTGACCAATGGGATGCTGCAACGGTTGTAAGCGTGTCGTGCTGATGTCACTACAGGCATCTCAGCATTCATCCCCCTGCCAGATTTCTGCTCTGGACTCAGAAAAAAGCTATATTAAAAAACAAAACTTACTGAAAAAATAAGGACAAGCTCAAATTTAAAGAGAAAAAACATCAAATTAGTAGAAATAAGTTTATTATGTTTGCGTTGATTTTTTATTTTTTGATGTACTGTTCCAAATGTTCTTTCTTTTTCTGTGCTTTTGTTGCAACTATGCATTAGGTCTCTCTTTAAAAAATGCTTCTGATATATTTGTGCCATAAAAGTTTAAAAATTGGAATACAAGTTCTCCAAAATCAGCTCAAGGCAAATACATATAACTGTAAAAACTCTACTAATGTGATTCTTAGGCACATATTTGAAAATTGGTCTTGGAAATTGCATGAAGGCAAATGGTAGAATCACAAGGCTATGATAGCTCTTCCCAATTAAATCTCTTTCAGATGCTTTGGATTATAACTTCCAAATTTCCCACCAATCTTTCTATTCGCTGGCAGTCACCCAAACTGGAGTCTAACAGGTGTAAGAAAGGGAACATAAAAGAGATCTCTTTGAGAGAAAGAAATAAGGACATCTGAAAATATTACTAATGATGAGCAGATAGATGTTTTAATGTCAATCTTATTTGGGAAAAGGGTGGGTAGCCCTTCAGTGTTCTATTCTGGAAAAAGAGGTACAAACCGCTCTCAGAGACTCTTACTTGCTAATAAATGAGTACTGAAGTTTGGGCTTATTCAGTTTCTCTGATTCTCTATAGTCTGAGTGTCTAACTCAAGGCCCATGGGCCAGATGTGGTCAGACCTGGACTGCGGTGCTGTCCTGGATGTAAGGGGCTGTTCTGCGTTGCTTTGGCCCAGTCTACCCATGTCACTTCAGACCAGTCTACCTGTGTCGCTTCAGCCCAGTCTACCCAATGAGAAGAGGAAACATCAGGTGAGCATCTCTTCGGCCTGGTCTACCCGTGTTGCTTTGGCCCGGTCTACCCAATGCCAAGAGGAAATATTGGACTGGCTTCCACCAGTCTATCAATGGAAGGAACCCAAAGTGGAAACATGCCAGCAGTTTAGGGACTGGCGTCAAGCTGGCCACATCCACCCAGTCAGCCACACACACTCAGTCAGCCATGCCCAGTGAGTGACATCAAGCTGGCCATGTCCGCTCAGTCAGCCATGCTCACCCGGCCACTGAGGTCAACCACAGCCCTGATGGGACCCTCAATGAAATTGAGTTTGACACCCCTGCTCTATAGTAACCTTTACCTTCTTCACATTAAAGCTAACCTTGTGAATCTTTCTTTCTGGGTTATAGTCTGCTGTTAGGGGGTCAGACTGGATATGAAGTAGTAAGAATTTGGTTCAGCCTTGCCAAGTGAAGACGAATCAGCATCTTTGGGTACCTGTGCAATTATGTCTGCAGTTTCAGAAAAGCTGCGGCACTTCTTCACAGCAGAGCGAGCCAAGAAATCTTCAACCAATCTGATGCCGATGTTGTATCCCCTGACCAAAGAGAAAAGAGAGAGAAAAAAGGTGAACTTCCTGACAGTTGATGTGAGTATAAAATGGAAACATGGCACACATTGTTCCACGCATATGGGCAGGATAAAATTCAGATATAAGAAGCAGTGTATAAGATAAGATGCCATCGCAAATTTTGTACAAGCGGATTACAATAACAGTTTGTTAACAGAGCATTTTGAAACTTTCACCTGGTCTTTTTAATTATTATTTTCTTCCTGCTGACTATTTTGTCATTAATATACTTAGTATATAGAAGAGAAGTCAATAATTTGCAAATAAATTTACAAGTTTAAACATTTTGGAGGAAGGCTGTTTTGCAAGGGATGGGGACCAATATTGTAGTAATGTACAATGTGGCTCAGTGGCTAAGACGCTGAACTTGTTGATCAGAAAGGTCGGCAGTTCAAATCCCTAGTGCCGGATAATGGAGTGAACTCCCTTTACTTGTGCCAGCTTTTGCCAACCTAACAGTTTGAAAGCATGTAAAAATGTAAGTAGAAAAATAAGAAGCATCTTTGGTGGGAAGGTAACAGTGTTCCTTATGCTTTCGGCATTTAGTCATGCTGGCCACATGACCATGGAGACTTCTTCGGACAGCACTGGATCTTCGGCTTTGAAACGGAGATGAGCACTGCCCCCTAGAGTTGGGAACCTTTACCTTTATAAATCAGTATTCAGTTAGGGGAATAACATGTGTGTATCTGTTGGGATTTTTTCCCTTTTTAATGCACTTTATTAATGTCTT